CTTGGCAGATGTTACAGTGAATTAAGATGGCTTTACTTAAATATACAGTAATTTGCCCTTTATTAGTATAAGAAAACCTTTTGTTTCCTCCATAACAGAAGTTTTAAGCAAAGTGAAAGTTACCTCTAGATTCTAAAAATTACATCTGCTATTTTCAGCACTGTTGCCAGATAAAACTTTACCATAGTTTCAAAACAGATCACCTCTGCTTCTTGGGTGGATAAATATGTATGCAGTATTAGTCATAACACGGTAGAAAGAACACCAGACGTTCAGTCCTTACACTGCATCTGTTTTAGTAACTTTTCTCTTTGCTAAGACTAAATAACTGACACCCAAAGTTAAGGGTGGAAAGGTTTATTTAGCTCACAGTTTGTGGAGGTTTCAGTCCATATTCAGCAGGCTCCAAGGCAGGGTAGCATGGCAGAGGAGAACACTTTATGGCTGGCAGAGGGTAGCAAAGCAACAAGGGACCTTGACAGCATCTTTCTGCCCCCTTTATATCATATTTAGGCTGCTGGGATTAGGGGGGTGCTAAATCAATTAGTGGACCTATTAGTAATCATGAACCTTTAATGGCTCCAGAAGCAGCCTTAGGAATTTAGTCTCAATGAAGTGTGAACTGTTAGCTCCTGACCTTTAGCTCTGCCTATAAAGAAGACTATACATCTGTGTTTATCTGCTCTGTCCCTGAAATTGTATAGAAACAATCTGGCTTGTCCCTGTATAAAAATTTTTCTCATTTCAGGCCATAATATATTGTTTTATTTATGGCTGTAATTTTAAAATGTGTAATTTTTTTCTTTCCGTCATCTATTATATTACCAGGCTTAGATGAATAGAAGATAATGTAACCTAATAAGTGAAATGCCTTACTATAGTGTTGTGACTTTTGGGAAATAAATCTTACTACCAGTTCACTTTTAGAGTTATTTGGGGACTAACTTTATACTTATGATGGAAGTAAAAGTGTGCTGACTGTTGTGTCTTTTTGGCCACTCTCTTACATGGTGGCTGCCCTCACACTGTAGGATGGACTCGTTTTCCTATTTTACTTGGCCCAAACTTGCTCTGCAGAGCCTGTTTCTTTTCCCACCTTTAATAAATCTTTACTACCACTTAAAAAAAGAAAAAGATCTTTTTTTTTTTTTTTTTTTTTTTTTTAAGGATAAAAGGAGGGAAATATTAACAGACATACAACATTTTACAACATATGGGTGATAATAGGTAACCAGTTACCTGTTGGCCGGGTTTTTGTTTTGTTTTGTTTTAGATGCCCTAATGCAGAGAGATTGTAAAGAGATTGATGAAGATGGTGGGAGAATGGGGAATGTACAGATATCTGCAAATAGAATAAAAAAGAAAGCGGAAGTGACGATATCATACAAAATGAAGAACAACAAGAAAAGCATTAAGCTGGACAAACTGATGTATTTTTTAGGTGTGGTAAAAAGTTTAGGTCTAGGAACATAAGACAGTTCTGAACTTTGTGTACTTAGAAATCTATCATTGAAACATTAATATATGTAAATGTTTTAATGTTTCATAAAAGTATTATACACTGAACATTTGTCAGATGTGAGTGTTTTATTTTGCAATTATCTTGGTAACTCTTCAAAAACCTTAGACTTTTTATTAAGTTATAGGTAATAGACAGGAGAATTTTGGCACCAAAAACTAATGAAGAGAAAAACAGCTGCACAGCAGTTAAGATAGTAGAAGTGGAAGTAGTGAAACTCTTATTCAGGAATCATTGGGAAAGAGCCTCTAGTGTAGAACTGAGCTCAGTTCCAAGTACAGTATGGATGAGTGGGGATTTCTAACCCAGGAGCGGTGGGCATCCGTGGATGGAAAGTCACTAAGAGGAAAGAAACATCCAGGGTGGAGTGCAGATTAGGAAAAGTGAAGGGTGGAACCACACTTTTTTTGTAAGCTTTGATTCTTAATTTCTTTGGATATTTTAAACTTTCTTATTTTCATATAGCCAAAGGTTTATTACCTGACAGAACACAAAGTAGTATTATCATGAACAGAGAAAGGACCCAGTTAATGAAGTCTAAAGTTTATACACTTTTTTTTTTTCCCCCCTCCGGTACCGGGAACCGAACTCACGACCTTGCGCTTGCCAGGCAGGCGCTTTTGCCGCTGAGCTAAATCCCCAGCCCCAGTTTATACACTTTTAAAAAGCTGTCAGATACTACAGACATCACAAAATGCCAAATTAAATCACAGTGTTTTGATTAATAAACCAAGAACTTCTAGGAGCCCCCCCCATTGTCTCCCTTTTATTTCGCTCTTTATTTATCTGGGTAGCTCATGTAAGAGAAGCCGTGTGATATTTAAGCTCACGTGTCTCGTTATTTCACTTACCATTATGGTCTCAGGGTGTATCCATTTTCCTACAGATGATTCAAGTTTATCCATCTCTGTGGCAGAGTGGTACTCAGTTGTGTCCATATGCGCAACCTTGTCTTTATCTCTGCATCTGTTGTTTGACATATAGGCAGCTTCGAAGATTTAGCTATTAGAAATTGTGCTGCTATAAACAGGAGTATGCATACAGCACTGTGTCTTTAACTCTTTTGGGGAGATACCTAGAAGGGGGAGTAGCTGAGTCAAGTGGAATTTCTATTTTTAGTTCTTTGAAGAATCTCCATACTGATTTTCATGGTGGTTGTACTAGTTTACATTCCCACCAAAAATCTGGAAAGGTTCCCTTATTCCCGCAGCCTCACCAGTGTTTGTTATTTGAGTTCTTGATGATAGCCATTCTTGCTGGAATAAGATGGATCTCGGTGTTGTTTTAATTTGTATTTCTCTAATGGCCAGTTACTGGTTCCAGAACCTTGAAGATTTTGCTCTTTCAAAATGATTTGTTTGCTGGGCTCTCTGGTGTTTTACTATTTAGCAAGTATTGTTTGAAGTGTTTATAGGAACATTTGATGTGTGCTATAAACCTGAGCATCTACTTTGGCTTTGAAAGCCTTGAGAGATCACCAAGTAGTGAAGGTAGGCAGTAGTCTAATGTTGTGCTCCTGTAGAAATAAGGCAGAGTTTTTCCTTTAAACTTTGTATTTCTTGGGTAGGAGACACATTTCTGTCTAAACCTGTCACTTGCTATAGTCTAAGACTCAGGTCTTACTGTTTTTTGCCCACATGATCATTTGACATACAATACCTTAATACCCACCTCCTTCCCAAGATAGTAGTTCTTTCTTAAGATTCTGTGATCTAAATGGTTAAATGGAATTACATTTTCTAATAGCATCTAGCAAAAGTGATTCTTGTCAAAAATCTTGTCAAAGGTATTTTGTCTGCCTTTGGTTTACCAAGGGGGTATGGGTGCCACTAATAGTGGAATTAGAAAATCACCAGCCACCAGATACTAGAAAACATTTATTGGAAGCAGAATAATGGGGTGATTGGTAACCTTTCAAATGCTATAGTGGACGAGGAGTGCTTCCACACTCAGTTCTTTCATTTTTTTCTTGCATGCTGATACTGAGCTAGGTACAAAGATCCAATAAACAGATTTTTACTTTGAGGAGATTATGGGCCAGAAGAAACTAATCACCTTTAGGTGATTCATAGAAAATAAAGGAGACTGTGTCATAAGACAATCACAGTTAAGTCTCATAAAAATCAAATGCATAGCGGCAGTAATCTTCTAGAGAAATATAATACGTATAGGTAGTATGAAGTTTGAAAGAAGAGATCACTTCTGACTTTGGGCTGCAAGATGAAGTGTTATCTGAAAGAAACAAGTTACTTCCTAAAAGGATTGAGTTAGAGCCTAAGATTTTTAAGTATCTTATTATTGAGAAAGTGCAGTATTTTAGGAACAACATGGGCTTTGGAATCAGACTTACCTAAACATGATTTTCAACTCTGCCATTTATTTAATAGCTGAATTATGTCACATCACTTCATTTCTTTGAACTTCAGTTTTCTCACGTGTAACATCATAGGGGAATTGTGACGATTTAAATGATTAAATAGGATTACATTTTTAAAAGCACCTAGCCCAATGCCTGGTGGTACCTAATTGCCTTTCAATAAATGTTAGTTGCTTTTTTTTTTTCTCTTATCTCCTTCATTTGAAAGTCCCTCCTGTGCCATTAGCTTACTTGATGAACTTGGAGGCAGGGCCTCCAAGTAGGAGACAGTTGCAGTAGTTCATTCATCAGGCACTTGCCGAGTGCTTGCCTTTTTGGTGGAAATGCAGAGGAAAGCATTAATTATTTTAAGAGGTGTTTCAAAGTGGAATGGATAGGAGGCAGGAACTACAGGCCAACTAGGGAACGTAGGACAGAGAAGAGGTTAAATCAAAGAAGAGGTTAAACTGATTTACATCTAGTATAATCTCTGGCATCAGACTACAAAAGGACAAATTGATTATTCCTCCCTGGAAAGGATTAGTCTTCTCTTTCAACATACACAGTTTGCTCTCCGTATCAGGATTTCAACCAACCTTGGATCAAGTGTATTAGAAAAAAATTGCATTTGTACCGAACATGTACAGACCTTTTTCCTTGTCATTATTCTGTAATCATTGCAGTATAACAACTATATAACAGCTGTGGTGTACTGACTACTGTAAGTAACCTGGAATGATTTAAAGTATACGATGAGGGGGTGTAATAGGTTATATGCAAATATCACACCCTTTTATGTAAGAAATGCACATTCAGAGATTTTGGTCTCTGCTGGGGGTCATGGAACCAGTCCACCAGTGACACTGAGGAACTACTGTAAATAACACGAGCTGTCTTCTACACAAGAAACTTGTTTCCTGCAAGTTTTATACTTTTTTTTAAAAGGAAATTATTTGTATCATAAAGGACCTAGGTAATATATGTGGTGTCCATCTGCCCATGAGCACCAATTTATTGCAGAAAACAGTGCTCTGCACTTTCTAACCAGTGTTGGTGACATCACTAGCAAAGTATTGACTGACTTTATTTTTCTTTTTCTCCTTTTGTCTTCTGTCCCTCCATCAGTTTGATAGAGGTTACTCTTACAATATCCGCCATAGCTTTGGAAAGGAAGGCAAGAGGACAGACTATACACCATACAGCTGCATGAAAATTATTCTAACCAACCCACCAGGTCAAGGGGATTACCACGGTAAGTGCTCCTTCCGGAAATGCTGGTGACACACAGCATCCCAGCAACTGGATGCTTTTTGTATTACTGAAAGGAACTAGTTTGTAGTTTCTGTTGGGCATCAGTGTCAAGCCAGAGCTCCATTTCTCTAACAGCGATTTGTCTTATTACTGAACTAGGTCAGGCAAGAGAAATTCACTTAGCTGCACTTCAGCCTGTGCTGGGCCAGGCTTTTCAGTCCTGTTCTGTCTAAGCAAACTGATAGAAGTGTTCCAAAGCTTTTTGAAGTGGGAAAACTCTTAATTTGGAAATAGTAGATTCTGAGGAAGAGTGTGTTTTATTCTCATTACTGTCATCTGATTAACCAGCAGAGATTAAGCCATGTCGTTACCAAACATATATATCAATTTGCCTGAGTTGGCAAGCTATTTTCTGTAGACTTTTGAGTTCAGCAGCTTTTTTTTTAAAGCAATTCTGGAAGCATACCTTGAGAAGCTCCTATTTGGTTTGTCGAGGAATGATTCAGTGATAAATTAGTAAATTTTCTAGATTGCCAAAGTTTGCAACAGTACATGTGAAAACTTTTTAAAAAGCTTCAATGAAACACAATTTTAAAAAGGTTGAACACTTTCAGTTTGTTAAAAGATGAAATAATCACAAACTTTTTAGACAATGCTCTCTGTGTCTAGCACTGGTGATAAGGACCTGCAGTAGCTCCAGTGGCTTGTGTTAGAGACCCTTCAGACGCCCTTAGAAGTGCAGGTTGCTTAGGCTCCACCTTCAGACATTTCCCCCAGGTGATTTTTTTGTCTTGTAAAGTTTGAAAACCATTGATCCAGATACTTCTGCCCAGCAAACCAGAAACTTTTATTAGCATAGCAACTCTTACAGGATGATAACTCAGAACTGAGCTCCTTGGGAAATGAAATCCCAGCAATTTTTCCCATGAATTTTCAGGTCTTAGCATTCATCAGTTATTTAGCTGCTTTTATTAGCATAAATATAAGACTTTGTGCTTTTTATTCTTGTTAAATCATATCTTACTCATTGTAGTACATTCTGTTGCATTTCTTTTAATTTGAACCTGTTAGTCAGGAGTCACAGTGGGGAAACCTTATTTTCAGGGACTGCATTCTGAGACCCCCACTGGGTACCTGAAAGTAGAGATGCTGCCGAAGCCTCTCCATATTGTTTTTTCCTATAAATACCTATCTCTGTTAAAATTCAGTTTCTAAGTTAGGCACAGTAAGTAATCAATAAGAGAACATTTATAGCAGTTGACTATAGTAAAGCTATGTAAATATGCTCTCTCTCAAAGTATCTCACTGCCCTATGTCCCTCTAGCAATGACATGAGATGACACAAAGCCCGAGTGAGGAAATGAAGCCAGGTGGTGAACAGGCAAGTCGTGTGAAGCTACTGTTGCAGGCAGGGTTATGTCAGGAGACCCCGCAGAGGGAGCCATAATGGTGTCAGTGCCTGGATGTCCGGAGCAGATGTTGGTATTTGGGGATCTTCAGTAGTTGAGGGTGTAAAAGGGATTACTGACTTTCTCAGTTGCTTTACTTTAGCTCTTTTCTTGTTTTTAGGATGGAGTGGCAACTTCTAAACTCCTTACATGGCTGATCAAAAACTGGAAGTCTAACCTTGTTATTTACAAAATTGCTCCATCTTTTCAGTTTACGCTTTTATCAGTCAGTGCTACTTACAACAGTTGTTTAACTAGTTGTGAATCTGCACTGTATTGTGTTAGTTCCCTGTCCATGCTGGGGTCAGATACCTGACACACAGCTTAGAGGAGGAAGAGTTTATTTTGGCTCATGGTTACAGATGTGTCATTCCATGGTCAGCTAGCTTCAAGCAGGAACATCATGGTGGAAATTTGTGGCAGAGGAAAGCTGCTCGTTTCGTGATAGCAGAGAGCAAGGAAGAACTGGAGAGAAAGGAAGGTGCAGGGGACAAGAACATACCATTTAAGGTTATTCCTAATGGTGCCTGAGTTAAGAACTCATGAATGGACTGATCCATTGAACCTTCATAATGCAAACACCTTCTGAAAGCCCTGCCTCTGAACACATGAGACTTGGGGGTGCATTTTGGATTTAAGCCATAAAGGATATATATTTAGTCCTGTCTTTACCCGTCTATTTCACAAGTGCCTATTGGGCAGCTTTGTCAAACAGCTGTAATTCATGTTAGCTGTATGTGCATTCATCTCATTTTTGCTACCTTGTTAGTTTAACCTTGGAGATAATTCTCTTTGATATGGAAGGTAGAAACAAAGTACGTATTTATATCACGAGCACCAGTAATGGTCTGTTGCTTCTGTTTTCTTCATATAGTGGGCATAGCTTCAAAAGACCTTTTTTTAGTCATTAGTATTTTAGCTATCCTCACTTACTTCTTGGCTTTGTCCATGGTGGCCTTTTTATATAGGTGTAGCCAAAATTTGGGTAATTGGTCTGGTTTGTCTCTTTGTTGGTGTGTGTGTGTGTGTGTGTGTGTGTACATGCCTTCTGATTATTCTGGGTTTGCCAACAATTCCATGTGCATCCTCATTTCTTTCTTGGTGTTGTTGTGATTTTTGTAATTTTATTAGCACGCATTTCAAGAATAATAACTGAAATATTTGAATGCTTACACTCTACATACCAGGAGCACATAGAAACTTGTATATTCCATTCTCATAGAAATCCTGTGAGATAGGGACTCCAATTCCTGTTGCATGAGAGAGAGTGGGCGAAGCTGAGTCTCAAGAAGATTAGAAGTTTGCCCATTTGTCAAGTGGTAACTGGGGTTCAAGTACAGGCAAAACAGCTCCCAACTCTTAACTGTGTATTGTGTGGTTTCTTATTCCTTGTAAATAGTTTTAATCTGAATAAAACATATATGTCAATTTTGCCAGCTTCATAGTTGCATGGGTCAAAAGTGTTCTGATGGATGTTTTATTCATAGTTAAGCTTTTACAGTAAATACATTTGTGTTTGGCATCCTGGCTCTTTTCCATTACTTTTTCATCAATCAGTTTCCTGCTGATTCCATTTTAAAATGCACTTGTTTCTAATTAACTTATGGATCTATCATCCATTTGACTAAAAAAATTATCAGTACTAAATTTTCACAGAAGTGTTATGACTTATCATTGCAGTTTTTGATTAGGATATGTAAAATCTAATAACACCTTTAATTTTTTTCTTCTGTGTTCTTAATTAGGCAGCTATTTGTAGTAGTCCACCTTTGCTTCTCTCATGAAATTATATAGAGATAACATATATGTATATGACATAATATTCATGTACGTATGTTGTTCTGTGCAACAGTTTCCTCTTTGTTCATGTCATCTCCCTCCATGATTCCTCTAAATTTATAAGGGTTTTATGTCCGATAATGGTTTAAGATTTTTATATTTCTCAGAATTTTTACATTTTATTTTTTATTACATTATCTCTTTCCCTTCTTTTGTATACCTCTTGTGTAATTTGTTAGACTAAAAAAAAGATGAGATTCTATAAAACTTTCTTAGTAAACAGTCGTAGCTACTTTGTGATAATCTGTGCTGTTAGCAAGTAGCAAATGAAGGCTGTTTCCTGGCTGTAGTGAGTGGACATCTTGGCTGTGGATGCTGTAATGTTTTATGTAACTCTCGAGCCTGTGGTACCCTGATAACTGCACAGCAAAGTTGTCATTTAGATAAGGAGTGGAAAGCAGTTGCACCCATGGGCAATTAACTTTTTTATTAATAAGCTGTTAGACAATTAAGGGCAGTTTAGACGGTCTCTGGAGTGTGGTATTGTGTGAGTCCTGGGTAAATAACTGGTGTGCTGCTTGTGTTTTGCTGTCAGGGTGCCCATTCCGTCACAGTGATCCAGAGCTGCTGAAGCAGAAGTTGCAGTCGTACAAGATCTCTCCCCAAGGGATAAGCCAGGTAGGTCAGACTCTGCATCCTCATAATGAGGTGCAGACAGATCCTCTCCGTTCTATGTAATGCTCCTGAATGGTGTTGTGTACTACTTGTTAACCTCACACTAGACATCCTGTCTTCTACATGAATTCAGCTAAGGCCTTGATTTTTCTGGTTTAGACTCCTTGCAAATTCTTGTTCTTCTGTTTGCTAGTCTGCAGTTTTTGTTTTTTGGTTGTAAAGAAAATCAGAAATCTCCCCCCACCCCTTTCAATTTATTTTACTTCATCAATTGAAGACCATATTTTTAAAAATAATTTTTTAGAGTTAGTATTAACGCTTATTAATGAAGCCGAAAATTAATGGCAGCATATTTCATTCTGGGAAATTGTTTTCTGAGCAGACAGTAATGTAGTGTGTCCTGGCTGAATGTTCTGATGGCATTAGTCATTACCATGTTTAATCTGTACTTCTGATGATAGTTTATTAGGTCTAATAGTTTTTCAAAATACTGTCTTGTGAACAGTTTTAAAAAGGAAATCTTACATTGTAAGCCAGATACTTACAGGTATATCTTTTAGTAAATCTGTCTTTCCAAAGAAACAGTGTGACATTAAGAAGACTTTTATATGTAGTATGCTTCTGTGTTGAGTTGGATTTGAAGGACTTGAAGATCTTCTGCTTCCTTAGCTTACGAACAGTGTACATTTTAGCCCTGGAATATCCAAATCATTATGCATCCTTCAGCAATTATCTTGAAAAACATTATCACTGTAGAAGACTGCTGCTTCTGGGTCCAAAGTTCAGATGGAGTTCAGTCAGTCTGAGTCTTATGGAGCATTTCCATACTTCCTCTAGGCAAGCCGCGCCAGAGAAGCTGTGGGCTGTTCAGAAAGGAACTAGGTGTGTGCTCCCACATGCCACACACCATAGAACTACAGTTTGGAGGAAAACAGAAGCCAAGGGTTAGGAAAGAGAGTGTCTTGGGTATTCTGATGAGGGAGGGATTAACCAGCTGGAGAAGCAGGAACCGCTCCTAAAAGATAAACAATTTTTGAAAGAAACCTTGAGGGAAGTTGAGAATAAGGAAGAGAGAACACATGGGTAAAAGGCAGAGAGTGTGCAGGATCGTTAGGGTTTCGGGCTTAGGTTAATGGTAGCACCAGTACAAAAATGTAAACAGGAAGCTTGAAGTAATTGGTTTTTCAGATTGGTTTTAGGGGTCAGTGGCAGACAGAGTGTGGATTTGCAGCACACTCACAAGTGAGGACTAGAAATCTGGTGTTCTTCCAGTTAGAATTGTCTAACCAAGTATGAGACTGGAGTGACCTTTAGAAAACCGATCTTTCATGGAGTCCTGGGATGTGGGTGCATACTGGGTAAGTCAGTGGCAGAAACAAATTGAAGCAGCTCTTCCGACTTCAAGATTTTTTTCTCAGCCCCGCTTTACTTTTGAGTTGATTATGTGGGACAAAGGAGGTGTGTCAAAACCTGTGCCTCGAATTGAAATCTTGACCAATGCTTTTGTTAGCATTAAAAGGAAGTAGAATTAATTGAGCCTGAGGAAGAATGGCAGGAGAGGCGGGAAAGGTCCACAAAGTCCCTTGTAGTAGAAAGAGTGTTTCAAGTGAAGGCTCCATGTGCTGAGGGGGTTACTCAAGTGTGATTTTGGTGGGAGCTGTCAGTGTAACAGTGGAAACCAGAAGTAAGAATTCACGTATCTAAAAGATGCATGAATACGAGGCTGTGAGTGTAGGTGACTCTTTCTACTTGCAAAGGGGGTGTGGGAATGCTATGAGCATAAGCATCAGGAGATAGCTTATTCATGGGTTTAGGACTAAAGGAAGTGGATGGGGAGTATAGCTCCATGGCAGAACACTGCTAGCATGTAGGAAGCCCTGGGTTTCATCCCTAGGACCACAAAACAAACAAACAAAACTGAAGGAGACTTGAGCTTGAAACTGTTTGTAGGAGGAGGAAAGGAAGTCCCCATCAGAGAATATGGGCTTGATGAAAATTTAAAACAAAGACTATCTCTAACCAAGCAGAGGCAAGCCCTCTTTCCTTTACACCATGACTATATTGTACATAATGCCCTCAGCCCTTGCTATAGTAGACTTTATTTTAGATATAATTACATTGTTTACTTGCTGTCTTTCCCACTAGTTTGTGAGTTTCTCGAGGGGAGCACTGGATTTTTACATAACCTTCTGTCTCAGAGTAACTCAGTAACCTGCACTTGGTAAGTGCTTCAAGAGTAAAGGGCGCATTTAAGTCTGAATCGGATCCTAGAGCGTGCTTGTTATGTGCAAAGAGACAAATAGGAACTCAAGAACATGAGTGAAGAAGTAACTAAGTGAAGAAAGGAGGATATTTACCTGGGCAAAAGGATGGTGACAGAGAAAGGTGCCCTAGCCAATGTGGGAGAAGGGAGAAGCTTGATAGAGCCAGAGGAAGTCAGTGATGGAGCAAATCTCCTAGCCTTCCTGTGAAAGGGTGGTCATCGGCTGAGAGTAAAGGGATTAGGAATGGATTTAGGAAAGGTTAGAAACTCCTGCTACCAAATTTGGTAAGAAATCTAGAAGATGACAGTCTGAGGCCTTTTGAACAGTTATAAGTAAGTCACCTTTTCCAAAATGATGTTTATATTTAATGTTCAGTGCATATTTGTATACTCTTTGCTTTTGACTGCATCGTATCCTTCCATCTACCTTCAGTCCGTGTTTAGTTTAGATCAAGAATGTCTCTCAGAGGCCTCGTGTGATCGCAGGCAGGGCGTGTGGGAGGTGGTTGAATCACAGGGACAGCATGGCTGAGTGTGCTGTTAAGAGGTGTGGGTCTGGTGGGAAGAGGTGGTCACTGGGGCGTGACCTGGAATAGCGTGTCTCCTTCCCAGCTGCACTCTCTGCATCCTGGCCACCGTGACATGAGCAGCTGTGCTCCACCAGGTCCTTTCCTCGTGCATGTCCATGTTTAAGCTGCCAAACACGGACTGAAACTTCTAGAACGAGCCAAAGTAAACCCTTCCTCCTGGAAGTTGCACAAGTCATGTATTTTGTGCCAGGTCTGAGAAAAATGACTCAGACAGTCCATAAGTATACTCCTTAGCTAGTTGAAGCTGGTCAGTAAGTTCCACATTGTCCTTTGGACCTTCATCACTACCTTCTGAGAAGAGCACAGATGTATAGTGCATGGGGGCAAACGATAGATAATGTTTTCCTTCAATGTCTTTATTGAATAGCACACCGAGAGAAGCAGCTGGAGGGCTGTTTTCTAAAGGGCAGCAGTTGATGAATGAAAAATCCATGCAAAATATTTGATAAATTAGTTGCAGTTGGCTTAAGTGCACATTAGATCTTAAAAACTCAAAGTACACATTAAAATATTGAATGAAAGTGGAGAAAAATATCATTAAAGCATGTTTAAGGTAAAACTGAAGGTAGCTTTTATTCTAGAGAAAAAAATACTTGAAAAATATAACTTCTAGTCTAAAATTCAGATGTTTTAAATTGGAATGATCAGAAGAAAGAGCATTGTGACTTAGCTGGCATTGCTTACTCTTTAAAAAAATATTCTTATAAGGTCACATTTCACTTTCCTTTGGATTAGCATTAAAATTGTTACATCATTATCAAAATCACTGAAAGTGATGAATATGTTGTTCAGCTTAAGGATGCAGCAACTGAATGAAGGAATATACCCAGCTGTCCCCTTTCTCGAAAAGGAAAATGTCAGTTTACCAACAAGACATAATATTCTAAATGTGCTTCAAGATGTACTCGGTGAAGACAGAACTGAGTGTAAGAACTGGTTTTGTTTGGAGAACTCAACGTTTCTCAGTAATCACAAAACACGTGCATGATCAGGAAGGATAAGAAGTTTGAACAACATTATTTTTTTAAAATTTTATTTTAAAGAGAAAAAAATAAAATTTCAAAACAATAGAGTAACAATGGTTAATACACTGTGTACTGCTATCCTTACATTAGTTACTCAGAGTACAAGATATAGGCATTTAATTGTCCAAATAATATTACAATAGTAGTACAAACCTTTCTTTTCAATGAACTAGGAGAAACTAGTAGTATAACTATCTTAACTATTTAGATA